CGGGGACCCCATATTGCACCTGACAGTCATTCAATAATTAACATAAAGAAAGATCATAAAAATTAAATGTCATTTCGTCAGTTCTGGCAAAGCAGCAAACCCGACCCTGCTGAGCCCTCTGTGATGGGCACCCACAAGGCCAAGCCGGCCCTTGCCATTGTTTAACTCAGAGCTGAGCTTACCCCAGAGGGAGGGTGGTGTCCAGGTGCCCAGAGCGCCAGCCCAGCAGGGTCTTCCAGAGGAGTCGGGACGGGGCCAGAGCAGGAGCAGCTCAGCAGGAGGCAGAGCTGGGAAAGGCAGATGACCAGTGGGGGTTGTGGATGCAGAGGCATCCGGAGCCCAGTAAACATGCGCGTGTTAAACCCACCAACTGAAAGGTGGACTCAGACTGGATTAAAGATGACAGAATAGGAGAAGACCTTTGCAGTGCGGAGGAGTTAATTAGTATCAGAATATATATACAAGTGTGTATAGGCTGGCAAAAGAGAAAGATACTGCCAGCTCCAAATGTGGATAAGGAGTTGGGGAAACTTCAGCGTGGGCACATTTCTGCAGACAGTGCAGATTGGCACCCACTTTGGGGAGCGATGTAGCCTCACCGAGGGAAGTTGGAAACGCACAGGACAGAGGACCAACAAGCAGTTCCTTCTTGCCGTGCACAAGGACACATGAAGACATTGGTTGTGACATGGTTGCAAAGTCGGGGAGCAGCTAAAGTGAAGGGTTTAATTGTGCAATGGGATGTCACACAAAGTTTAAACAAATTAACTAGATGTATGCATTGAGTTGGACAAATCCTCAAAACATAACATTAAAGGAAAACAAGTTGCTAGAGATAAACTCCATCTCCAAACCGATGAACTCTTCTGGAATGTGGAAGGCGTGTTTTACTGTCGATGGACGCAGGCACATGTCGGAGAAGCTCAGAGGCCCTCCAGAGATGCTCTCAGGCTCCAGGCCCAGACAGGGCGGGGGACGCTCTCACTGTGTCTAAAATTCTAACTTCTTTTCAAAAAAAGAGCAGAAACGGCAAGATGTCAGCAACGGTTAGATCTGGGTGCTGGATGCAAGGACTTCTATTGAATTATTTCTTTATACTTGAGATATTTATAATTGAACTTTGAAGTCGAGTCTTGTTTTTGGTAGAGGCCATTGTGTGAGGAAGTTAATCTGCTGCCACCCAGTCACGGGCAGATGAGGGGGGCCCCTGCTGCCTCCAGCCTGTCCATCCTAGTCCACACCAGCCTTCGCACTCAGCCCGCCACTCTGGTGCTGTCAGGTGGCAGCTGGCCCACGGCCTGCACAGAGCCCTTTTTCCCAAAAGAGCTGGGGTCCCTCAGCTGCATCATGGGTGGGTATTGGGCTGTGCCTTCGTGCCTCAAGAGCCATTCCACAGCCACCAGATTGTCACCAGTTGTGCCCAGGCATTCCGGAAGACGGGCGTCTCAGACAAACACCCCTGGGATCGCACTGTTCCCTCTCACAGATGCCCTGGGGATAGCAGCGTTCTCAGGAAGGCTCGGAATTCCAGCCTTGGAATGGCTGCCCCAACCAGAACTGGGGTGCACGGGGCCCAGCTGGAGCTAACGTTGGGGGCATGGACCCACCTGATGAGTTCGGGTGGTGGCAGGTGCTCCTCAGAGCCACCAGCCAAGTGGCTGCCCAGAGCAGGTCTCCCAAGCCTCCCTGGGGGTCCACAGAGTGACCCTGGTGTCCGCTGTGTCCCTGCAGGAGCCGGGATGGTGGTGGACTGGGAGCAAGAGACTGGCCTCCTCATGAGCTCAGGGGACGTGCGCATCGTCCGGATCTGGGATACGGACCGCGAGATGAAGGTGCAGGTAAACACACGGGGTCCCTGTGCGGCCCCCAGCAGTGTGCGTGCAGAGCCACCCCTCACCCCAGGCTCTCCCACGCTCCACCCTCCACAAAACAGACCCGTCCAGAGAACCAAGAACTGGGGTTGACAGAGCAAGCATGGTTTGGGGCTGAGTCTCAGCTTCCTTGGGGAGAGGCAGGCTGGAGGAGACCGCCTCGGTGCCGGGAGGAGCGCCGGCTCTTTCCGAGGCTCTAGAAACTCACTGCCTCCGGATGCACGTTAATCACGACACTGTGGCCCTGCACTGCGGCGCAATTACACCCATGCTAATCCTAATTATTTCCAAACATTTTTTTATATGTGCAAATTAGGGAATATCAGAAATCAGTAGAGTGAGGTATTTTAAATTA